TCTCTAGTTCTTCCACATAAAACACCTAAGCCCCACAGGGATAAAAAGAGATACTGTAATGCCTACTTTACAAATGAGTCAGAGTAAGCTCACCCCGACAGCCAGAGGAGGTGGGGTTCACATCAGGCTCTTCACTGTGACTCTGTCCTCTCTCTCCCACTTGCAGCCTCCTCTTCTTCTTCACCCGAAGTCTAAACTAACAGCCACACCAAGTCTTGTACACGAAGCACGAGTTAGGCTTAACTAAGCTCTACGCCTTTGAGCTAGGTTTGGGTCATTGACCAGGTGGAGGAAGGAGATTTGCAAATTAATCAAACTATTCCTTCATAAAGACCGTTTTCCTGCTTTGCTTGTTCAGAACAACAGCACAGAGGGTAATGAAGGGTTCCTTTCTAGCCTGGGTAGAGGCGTCATCCTTTCCCATGAATTCACAGAAATGGACCCGCGGAGGCCCCCAAACACCAACGGAGCTAGTGCCCAGTGGTCCCCAAGGCTGTCCAGAGCACACCCTTGCTCTGGTACAGAATCAGAGACCGGAACTGCCCCACAAACTTCAAACAAGTCATACCCCATCTCTGACACTCCTGACTGTGTCATAAAATGGAACTCAGGAGTTGACTCGGCACCTCAAACGACTCAAGGAGTCAGGAGTTCTCACATAGAAGAATGGTTCTGTTCTGCTTTGGAAAGTCTATAGGAGAGGAAGCATTTTTTATTCACCCCCATAGGTATCCCTTACCTATGGAGTATGAGCTCCAGAAATGTTTATAAAGTGAGGAGCTGCTCCTAAAATCCCTCCATTTGTAATATGGCTTTTTGGGTGAACCAATGACCTCTCCCATACAAAATAGAGATTCCACTCTAAACGTCAAGTCCCTAGCACTTTGGACATCTGCAAAGTTACCAAGTACTACCTAGAGGAGAAGGTACCAAAGGAAGGGGCCGGATTAGACAGACACTGTTTTTTATTATTATCACAGAAAAAGCTTACCCGGTACATGCTGGGGGCCAGGCACTATGCTTTCAGTATCTCACGGGGTTCCCAGGAAGCAGGGATCGTGAGAGCACATTTTACAGATGTGGAAACTGAGGTTTGGACAGGTCATATAGCATCACACAGTGAATAGGGGATTGAGACAGGGTTCTGAGCCAACCTGGGTAGAGCACAGAGCCCGCACTCTCTGATTGCACTTAGACAGCATCTCCTGCAGGTAACTCAAAAAAGAAACTCACCCATCCTATCAGCTTTTTTTCAGGTAGGAAAAGAAAAGTCGAAAGGAAAAGGACTTGCCCAGACTTGCTATGACTCAGTGTCAGAGTCCAGGTCTCTCTGTCTCTCTGTCTCTCTGTCTGTGTGTGTGTGTGTGTGTGTGTGTGTGTGTGTGTGTGTGTGTGTGTGTGTGTGTGTGTGTGTGTGTGTGTGTGTGTGTGTGTGTGTGTTATCCATATGACCTCTGTCTCCAGTTGCAGAGAAAGGCAAAGAAATGGAGACACCATGGGGAAAGGAGTAATGTAGGTTTGGGAAAAGGTAGAAAAACAAGTGATGAAAACAATGAGCATGGCTGCTTTCTCATCACACCAGCCTCGCTCAGTGGCCATATCCCCTCCTCCAGGATCATTTCCAGGCCTGCAGTAAGGCTGTCCTGCCCACTCCTACCACAGCCTGGCTCTCTTGGAAATGCCTAACACACCTGCAGCCCCTACACGGCTATGAAACTTTCAACAGGCCTGTCTTGGGGTCTGGGAATGGGGGAGAGAAAAATGGAGACTTGGAGGAAGCTAGCTCTGGTCAACCAGCTCTAACCTTTCTGTGCGGGAATTACCAAGAGCAGCAGAGCTTGGAGCTGAGACGACAGCAACCCTGCCCGTCTGCCTGAACTCCTCCATGGCTTCCCACCACCAGGGACCAAACTCCACACCACCACAGCCTTCACGACTCAACCTGGCCCGGTCCTGCCACCTCTCCTCGGTGTTGTCCAGGCCCCTGGTTCTCACTCAGTTCCTCAAGGAAATGGGCCACGTCGGCTCATTCTTCAGGCCTTTCCAGGAGCTGGGCCTCCAGCCTGGCACGTGCTCAGGCCCCGCCCCCTCCCCCAAGCCCAGTCCTCCATGTGCAGTTCATGCACCTGGCCCCCAAAGACTCAGTTTCAATGTGACTTCCTCAGCGAAGCCTTCTCTGCCACCACAGGCCTCCCGTGACACGCTTTCAGCCCGCTGCCCTGGAGGATGGCTCTTGGTACTTAGCAGTCTGTCTTTACTTATTTGTGTGATTGGTTCATTAATATCTGTCTTCTCCACAAGTCTATAAACTCCATGTAGATAAAGATCGTGTCCACTTGTCAGACTCTTCACCTCTCAGGGCGTGTGACACAGTACTTGGCAGATAGTAGGACTGAAAAATACTTACTGAATTAATACATCAACGACCAGGGCTTCAAGAGCTCCAGGTCTCCTGTAAGGAGAACAGTGACACCTAGTGGCTGCGTTCACAGCCTTGGGCCGGGCCTCTCGGGTAGCACGAAATGAATGGGTCTCAGGAAGACTTCACTGGACTTGCAAAGAATTGAATATCGGGGTGACTCTGAAGGGAGCTGGCACAGAATTCAGACACGGGGTCATCTCCAGTCCCCTGCTACCGCACATGTGCCAGGGACACATCACAGAAGCCCCAGGACGTGGTACCGTGCCACATTACTGATGAGGAGAGTGAGGCCCAGAATGACAGTCGTCGGGGCACGTGCACAGAGCAGTTAGTGGGAATGTTAACAGCCTCACTCGCTTTGGTAGCTACGGAGGGAGAGCTCAGTCCTATGCAGCTACCAAGGTGCCCCTAGTTTCCTCCTCACTGGCACAATGCTGTCAGACCAACCTTCGTATCCACTGGAAGCTTCCACAGCCTGCTTCTACCACCACATCTCCACAATGGACTCTCACCCAAAGCCAGAGGTGTGGAGGTCCATGCACATTGGGCTTTTCTGCTGTTGTCACTATGGGGAACTCCGATGCAAAGAATTAAGATTATTCGCCATGCTTGATCTATGACTTAAGCTCCTTGTTGTACCATCACAGTTAGGCTATTTGTATTTACCCAGTTAGTGTTACTTAGCTACTTTTAACACTCTGATAAACTCCCACAAACCCATCACCCAGAACACCAGCTAGGAACCTGACTACTTCAGTGTAACAAAGGCCCCCTCGTGCCATCACCCGTCCTCCCCTGACTCAGGGGCAACATCATCCTGAGTCCTATGGTCATCGTCTCCTCAATTCCATGTTTAAGTGGCTTATTGCAACTGTATGTATTCCTAAAAGGTAGTGTGTTAGGGGTGTGTGTGTGTGTGTGTCTGTTTTTAACTTAAAATAGTGGAAAGGGTATCACGCTATTGAAAACATATCTTTGAAACTTAGTTTTTTCATTTAATATTGTGATCGTGCATCTCACAGTGAGTATCACTACAGTTCACTCATCCTGGCTATTGTACAGTATTCTATTATATGCACGTTCCACATCTTCACTGCCCTCCCATTGGTGGTCACCTGGATGGTTTGCCGGAGGCTCCTTCTGCTACACAAATCTGATCCTCTCAGTCTCCTGCTAATCATATCACCTTCAGCATCCCATTGCTCTCTATGACTTAGGGTCCAGACTCTGACCTAGCTTAGAATGTCCTAACTGATGGGGCTCCTTGTGACCCCTCTGGCCTCACCTCTGCTCTCTCTCCATCTCTTCGTCTTAGTCATAGAGAATTTCTTCCTGTCTTTGTACAGACTGTTCTTTTCTGCCTGAGGTCATCTACCTGATACTCTCCCCACTTTCTTCTTCTCATCCCCTCTCTGTTCTCTGTGAAGCCCTACCTGCCCACTCACTGCCTGTTGGCACTTAGCTCCGTGGAATGCTATGGGAGGGACACATGATCCATAGCATCCTACTGGACTTGGTCAGCAGTCTACCAGATTGTCTCCTTTGGGCGTCCAGGGCTGTCTGGGAGTTTCTGCAGACGGAAGAGTGGGGACCAAGTAGAGAGGCTTTGTCTACCTTCCTCCATCATTCTTCCTGGTTTTAGGGACTGGGGTTCCTGAAGACTGTGTTTGGAAAAAATGTGCCATGAACACATTTGCAAACTAGTGAACTAAATCATGTGTATGATCCCCTCAAGTCCTGACATGCTGTAATTGAAAGTGAGAGACAAAGAAAGAGGAAAAAGAGAAGATATAATTTCACGATTAAGCATATGGTCTCTGGAACAGACTGACTTTCAGCAAACCACTAAACATCTTTGAGGTTTCCTCACTTGTAAAGTGGGAATGGCATTAAGATGAACCATACAGAATTGCCATTTTTACAAATAAAAGGTAGCCAAAGGTCTGCAATTGCATATGAATCAACCCAATCCTTAAAGGAACTCACAGCTTTGAAGGGTAGATTAAAAGAGACAATTCTAGTACTGATATAGCTACTGCTAGGTTTTCACCAAACCCATTTCTTCTTCTCCTGGGCACACAGTAGAATGCATCCCCTCTCTCCTTGCCGACAGGTGTGCCCAGTGGCTGAGTTCTAGCCAATGGGATGGGAGCTGACATGACATTTGCCACTTTCAGCCTTGGCCCACTGCACTTCTCACATGTAATCCTCCATGTTCTTTCTTTTCCCAACCTGAGTGGACATATCAGGTTGAAGGAGCACAAGATGGAATAACCTGGGTCCCTGAACTAGTTCTCAGAGTCAAACCATTCATCAACCAGAAATATCTATTTGGGATTCTGTACACACAAGACATAACCTCTATTGAATTAAGCCATGGAGATTCAAAGGTTTGTTGGTTACACCAGCTTGTGTTATGAAGCTATATGTGTACTTAAAAGATGGTGAGACATCAATAAATGCTAGTCATGATGATGAGGACGACAATGACAATCCCAACAGACAAAGGGCCCGTAGGGCAGGAGGTAGCAGGGCTGGCACTTAGATTTGACTTAGTGGCTGTGTCAGGGAAGCTCACCTCCTTGGTGCCGTTGTCTTGAATGAGGGTATAAAGTGGCACCACGCGGTTGATTTCCAGCAACACCGGTGTAGGGCTCAGCTGCTCCTTTCCTGGTCTGCGGCAAAGGTGGCAGGTCGATGGACAGCGGCCTTTCTCCTCACAGCGGATCTCCACACCTGAGATGAGCTGGTCATCCGAGAGCATCTGGGCCGTCAGCAGACCTGACAGGTAGGTGATGAAGGGCATGGACTTGAGTTCCTTCTTGCTGCCCAGCTCTGTGGTCTCTGGGGAGGGAGAGATAGAGTCAGTATTGCTCAAAGCGTAGGACTCTTGAATCCATAAAGAATCCAATGTGCTAAGGAGCTGGTATCCGCTGGGGGTAAAAAAAAAAAAAAATGCCAGAGTGGCTTTTTGGAAAGATGACTGGCCTGAGGGTTTGGAGACTAGAATGGAGTATTATGACACCGTTTACATTAAATAGCCCCCTTTCTCTCTTTGGCCTCACTTTCTCCATCTTTAAAGATGGTAGGAGGGACGAGAGGATTCCCTAAGAACTGTGTACGCTGTAAATGTTGAAGGGCTTTTCCCCCCAACCAGAAATTCCTTTCTGTCTGTTATCAACTTACGCAAAGTCTACCTTTCTTTTATACACTCACTCCAGCCCGACGTCTTTCAGGGAGTCCCATGTAATCGGGGAAACACACTCTTTGGAGTCAAGTCAATTTCAGTTTAAATCTCAATTCCGTTTCATAATAGCAATGCAACCTTGGGGAAAAATATCTCTTAATGTCCAAGAGCCTGTCGTGATTCAGTCTGTAAAATGTGGTTAATGATACCGAGTGAAATAGTTTTGAGTGATAAATGAGATAAGAGGTGGACCTGCCTGGAAAGAAATATCACTTTCTCCTTCTTTATGCGCTCATCTGTTCCCTTGTTCAAACTTCTTTTCCTGCCTCATTCTTCATGTGCACGCTGAGATCTGATTCACGCATGCTCCATTCTGCGCTGTCTCTCTTGATCCATAAAACTAGTCCCTCCCACTTCTGTACCTTTGCTCAACCTGTCCGGCTTTCCCCCATCTGCCTCTTCAAGTCCTTACCACCCATCAGTGCTCCACGCCAAGGTGACTCTCTTCAAGAAGTCTTTCCTCCTTGCCCTAGTCCTTCTCTGAATAAGTGTTTCTGCTTTTAAGACCTTCTCTTGTTAAGCTCATTTTCCCATCCCATTTTCTGCTGACCTCTTCAACCATCTTATCAGCTCCTGGAGACCAGGGGCCAGGTCTCCCACTCTTGTCCCCACCTCTGCAGAGCCTAGCATGGTGCGAAGAATGTATTTGAGACTTAACCAAAGAAGAAGATTATAGAACTCTGAGTGGCTAGAATGATCTAGAGTTCTTCTGAGGAATTCTAGGAATCCCAGGGCGCACCTCAGCAGCTGCTTGCAAGGGGCAAGAGAAAAGCAAGCAGGCAGAATTCTAAACCCACACCTCAACTTCAAACAGAGTGGTTCTGCTTCTCTCTGTTTGATAGACTGGCCTTCTATATAAGATTTCACAAGGTCGGTGGCTATATTAAAAAGCTTGAAGAAGCAAAGTGATTTGTACAACCGAGAGGCTTCCATTTACATCATAGACTATGTCCATGGTGTCTTCAAAGTTGTGCAGTGCGTGGTCTGAGTGGCACAACAGGGAAGCCCTGTGCTGAAGGGCAGAGCTTGCTCCAGGTGACAGATTCTTCCAAGCCTGGTGAAGTTAAGGAAGGCTCCTGCCTCAGTAGAACCAGGGGCCCCGGGCACCCAGGCCTGGGAGAAAAAGGAGGGTTGACTCCTGCTCTTGCCCTCTGCTTGCAATGACATGCAGCTGATCTGGAAATGGGCTTGCCAAATTAGAAATACAATAAATGCAGCCTTCATTCATTACTCTCTGGGCCCTCGAGCCTGGGATCTGGGCTCCACCTTTTCTGTCTGGCTGTCAGCAAACGCTTATGAGCATTAGATCAAAGGCTCTGGGGGAGGAAGACAGGCGGATTCCAGCTAACCAATCCTTCAGAGGGATTAAAGAAGGGTAGTTACTAAGATAAACAAAACAAAGCTGTGAAGAAGGCATCTCAGCAGCTGGGGAGATGGGAGACAGTCTATATACAGACACATCGAGAGAAGATGATGACTTTTGGAAGTGCAGACTAGAGGGCTAGTTTTAGAGAAGAATGACTTTCAGCTCAAGAGAGAATAACCATTCGGGAGAGAATGGTTAGGGGGAGTCAATGCTGCAAGGACATTAGGGAGTAGTTAGCTCTCACTCTGACCCAGAGGTCAGTAAGCTATGGCCCATGGGTCAAATCTATCCCTCTGCCTGTCTTTGTGAATAAAGTTTTATGGGAACACAGCCACCTTCATTCATTTTATTGTGTTTGGCTACAGTGGCAGAACTGAGTAGTTGCAACAAAGACTTCATGGCCCACAAAGCCTAAAACGTTTACTGTCTAATTCTTCACAGAAAAAAAGTTTGGAAACCTCTGCTCCAGCCGTAGATTATGGATGGGAAAACCGAGTCTCAGACTGAGGATCCACTTATGGGCACTCAGGGATGTCGCAGAAGGGTGGCTTAAAGTAAACGGTTCAGAATCAATTAGCCCGCCAATACACTTGTAAGTCCCCAAGGAGAAAAAATAAAGGGGGGCATCTTTTCTCCCTAGATGTCTTTCAAAAACTGTTGAAAAAGTACACTTTTGTAAATGCTAACCCAGTGCAACTCTCCCATTGTAATCAAGAGGAAATTGATTCCTAATGAAGAAAAATGACTTTCCAGGGTCACACGGTGAGTTAGTGGTCCTTTCAGCACGCGGCCCCAGCCTGCTGATAATTAAGTCATATCTTCAACTATTGTTTTTATCGCTTATTTTAAAACACAGATGGCCTGCTCCTCAGAGCACCATGCTATGTGCACGCAGTTTCATTGGGGAGGAATGTAACATGGTACTGGGAGTAAAAATCCTCTTGATCAAACAAACATTCATAGCCATTGGGTTAACGATATCACTATCCACTTAATAGCAAAACAAGCTATAGATTTGGCTGGTCTGCTTTTGTCCAGTAAATCTTTGGCTTTTTCAATCTGTCAGGTCAACAAGTGGGGCGAAAAGCCTATATATATAATCCAGGCTGAAGACTGCCCTGCAGTAGCAGTATTGAATTCACAGTCGAACTTAAAGGCTGATGTTGCAAAAGGAGGAAACTTGGGTATCATCTGGTCCAGCCCCAAGGCTTAACAAGTGAGGAACCCCAGACCTCAACGGAGAAAGGAATTTACCTCTGTGTCCCATGTAAATTTATTAGCTACGATCCTTTTCCTACAGATTGTGTCATGCCTAAGTTATGACCCGAATGAAAGTTATAACAGGAGGGACCATTAGCCATTACATTAATTATTCCTCTGCAGATATTATAATTGCCAAAGCTAATTGCTTCACTCTGTGGCTGAAGTCATCTTTTGAAAAGGCTGACCCTATATTCTTCTCCTGCTTAAAACACCACTGCTACTAGGATAAAGACCAAAATCTGTAAGATGGTGCATAAGTAATATGGGATCTAGGCAATCTGCCTGCCTCTCCAATCGCATCTCTTACCCTGTTCCTCTTCATTCTCTTCCTTTCAGCTACACTGGCCTTTGAGTTCCTTACATACATCGTACCCTGTGCCTCTCTTTCTCAGACTTGGCGTGTGTTCTTCTCTCTGTACAGAATGCTTTCTCCCTTCCACCCCAGCCCCCGGCTCCTCTGGACAAGCTCCCACTCATCCTTCAGATCTTAGTTCACGTGTCATTTCCTCAGGAGGGCCTTCCCTGAACTCCATCCCATGCCCCCAAATCTACGAGTCTATTACGGTGTCACATTCAAGATCCTACTAGCATCCTGTTCTGTGTAGCACATGTTAATGTCTCCAGGCTGTAAGTTCCATGAGGGCAACCGCAGTACGAGTCTTGCTGATGTCCACACCCACTTGACACAAAGACATATTGGCTGAGTATATATTTATATACCCTGATCACTGTGCCACCGTATCAAAGCATGGATGTGCCTACGAGCCATGATGTGTGTATTTCAAGATGGACGCTTCATGGCTGGCTGTCAATCAAGTGACAACCTCTTCCCAGAATGAAATGAGCTCTCTCAATTAAAAGGTTAATAGATAAATGGCTGATCACTTTGCCAGTCGCTTCGACCTTCTCCAGGCTTTCACACAAGCCCTTGCCATTGAGGGGATGGGAGAGTTCAGTTAAAACAGGCTGTCTTTAACAGGCCAGGATAAAGGGCATTTCTGAAGAGACTTATCCTCTGTTCACATTTCCCATCCCTCTGAACAATGCTTCCAAAATAGGATCATGTCTGGTTTTAAGCCCAATTCAGTTCCAATGACACTACAACCCATTCATTTGAGACCCTGCCAACTGAACTCTTTTTTCTCCTCCCAAATTCCTGCTGGGTATTATTTTGTTGCCACCAAAAAAAAAAAAAAAAGAAAGACTCAGTGGAAGTGACAACTCCTTGTTGGGAGGGCAGCCAGGGCTTTTCGGCAGGAGGTGAAGGCACTGCTCGCCCTCATCTAGAAAACAAAACAAAGGCATTAGACTAAGGGCTTCTGGGAGCGCCAAGGCTGTGCGAATGTTTGTTCAATGTTCGGCAACAGCTCCGGGCGCTGCCTTCCGAGTCAGACAGGCTTGCTTGGCAGCAAGCTTGCAATTGAAGCATTTAAAGGCTCCGCGGGGACCAGAGGGGCTCAAATTAGAAACGTTAAGGGTGGGGAAAAGAGGGTGAGACTTTTATATCATAAAGAATGGCCTTTATTGCAGCAATGGCCTCCCAGGAATTGCTGAAATAGGATCATTTCTTAGGCGGAGGTACTGTCTCCTGTTGGAGGAAGGAGATTGCTCTGAGGCCTGACTCCAGGACCCACACAAATACCTCCTTGACCAAGGGTAAGGAGCTCACTGAAATGCCATCGGTGAGGTGTGCACTCGTGTCTTGTGCAATCTGAACCTCTCTCAGCCCAACAGTCCAAGTTCAGCACAGTCGGTACGCCCTTTCTCCGTAAGAGTACCAGGCTGAAAGGGTTAGTGTGAGTATGAAACACAGTGCCTGGTAAAAGTTTAGCACTAAGTCAGTATCAGTGGCAAATGTTGTTGTTTCTGGGGCTGTTGTAATTCTTATTGCTGTCATCGTACCAGGATGTTAAACCTGAAATTTCTATGGTGGCACCGAGACAGAAGGGAAGTGAAAACCCACAGCCA